CAAAGAGATGGAACAACCTAAATACCCATCAACAGAGGAATGGATAACCAAACTGTGGTACATACACATAATGGAATACTATGCAACATTAAAGAATAATGAAGAATACATGAATCATCTCACAATGTGGATGAATTTGGAGGACATTATGCTGAGTGAAATAAGTCAATTGCAGAAGGACAGATATTGTATGAGCCCATTATAAAAAGTCAGGGAAGGGTATACTTAGGGAAGAAAACTCACTTTCCAGGTTACTGAGAATGGGTGGGAAGGGGAGGGAAAATTTCAAACTGGTTGGGGGTCACATGTTGATTTGGGTGAGGGGAGGGATGGTATAGAAAGAGTCTGTGATCAGTATGAAGACATTGGGAAAGGAAGGACATTGAAATGTGCACATGAGATATAGTCAACAGAGGCAAATACTAGTATATACACAATGCTGCATTAGTACTAACACCAAACACCAGGCTACGGATAAATGCATAGACAGGTGAGAAGATCAGGTGGGGGTCAGTGAACAGGAATATATCCTAGACCAAGGGTAGATTTGGCAGTCTTACATATGCACTTGTGCTACAAAATTAGCTACACACATTACAGAAGCAACAGAAGACAGAGTTGTAGTAACCTCTCAGAGACAACCACACCTTGAAAGAGAGAATCATTGGACCTGCCAACTCAGGATCAAAGTCTTGGGGAGCATCATGCTCAATTGGTCCAACACAGTACCTAAAAATCTTGTTCTACAACCTACTTTGGTGGGTAGCAACTGGGTCTTAAAAGCTTTTGAGTGGCCATGTAAGATGCAACTATTGGTCTCTTTTCATCTCAATTGAAGAGTGAAGAAAATCAAAAGCATCTGGAAACAATTAGTCCAAGGATAAGATGGACCACAAGAACTAGATGGTGCCTGGCTACCAATGCCAACCACTCAGAAAGGGATCAAAACTGGAGATTCTGGATAGAGTGGGAGGAAAAATGTGGAAGAAAATTCAAAAATACAAAAATGACCAGAATTACTGGTTGGATAGTGTTCTGGTTACCTAGTGCTGCTCTGACAAGAATATATACCACATTGGGGGATGGCCTTAACAAACAGGAGTTTAGTCTTACAATTTGAAGTCATTAAGTCCAAGTTCAAAGTACCAGGCTCTGGGGGCTGGGTGAAAGCCCCTCAGCCTTGGGCTTCAGCTCTGCCTCCAGTTCCTGGCCCACTGAAGCTAGAGGCTTTTCTTCACTCAGGCAGCTGCTGATTGCTGAGGATGCCAAGCCCAAGGTTGACAAAGAAAAAGGCACAGTTCCAATGTTACCAAACCACATGGCAGGCCATTAATTTAAGTCCATCGTAAGTCCCAAGGTCAGCAGAGCATGGCAGGCTGCTGAACAATGACACGGCTACATGCAGGGTCCAAACATTCTATAAACTCGAGATCATTCTCAAAGCTGCTGCTTATATACAGGAAGCAGACCACATCCCAAAGGCAGTTACTCAGCTGCTTGTGGTAGATCCTACCATGGAGTTGATCGCCCATCTCATCATGGGGAATAACTACCACCAGCTACCCAGTCACTCAACCAGGCCCAGCCAAGTTGACATACAAACATGGCTACCACAATCATCTAGACTGAGGAGTCAGGGAAGGTTTTGAGGAAATAATTAAGTTGCAATGTGAAGCAAATTTAGGTCTTGACTAAGCAAAGGAACCCCAAGACTATGGCCCCAAGTTACTGCCTAGAAATGGGCTTACTCCCATGGATTAGCTCTCAGCCCAACAGTGAGAAGACCTACATATAGAACACCTACTCCAGGTTGATGCACCTACCTGCTCTAAGGAGATGCATGCCTTGGATCAAGTAGCCATGAGATACCAGAGGGGCAGCATTCATATAGAGGGAAAGCTGGGCAGACACGATGCATAGTTAAGAACGGCATGGGGAGGGGTAGTCACAGGAAGAGGAAGGGAGGAGAGTTTGTTATGGTCACAGATGGTAATTGGGGTGTGAAATTAAAAAAAAAAAAAAAAAAAGCACCCCTGAGTGACTATGACATTTTTGACCTGGTGATCTCTTCTTTTGTTATAAAGGTTTATTTGTTTCTGTACTTATCTATTCTATTAGTTTATGTGCAAAAAAAAAAAAAAAAAAAAACTGATTAGAGAAAAACTTTAAAAATGAAGACAAGACTCATATGCTTTATCAGAGATTTTGTGCTTGTGATTATTTGTATAGAATAAGAAAAGAATATTTCCAATGTTAGATCATTAGTTTTATTGAAACTTTACTCAAGACATGGGACATGGTGGATATATTTTAAATACAGTATGTAGGCATGGTGGTTGCAAAATTATGCTTCCTTGAAAATTGTAGCTTATTTATGAACATCAGACACAAGTTTAAAAGCAATGCAATTAAAAGATTTTTCAAAAATGAAAAAAATACATCATGTTACTTGAACCACTGAAGATATTTTTAAACTTTCAATTTAGTTTTCATAAGCACCTTTGGTTTGAACCTTAATAATGCAAAAGAGGTTTGAGGTGATAGTAGGTTCTAAGAAACAGGAACCTTATATTTTTTTGCTTATGGTGAAAATAATATATGCTCATTGGTTTAAAAATTTTGGACAGAGGAAAAGATATAAAGAAGAAACTGATATATTCATTTCCAAACATTATTCTTGTTAACTTTTTGGTGTACGCCTTTCTAGTGTTTGTTTTTTAACCTGTGTGTATGTGTCTGTGTGTACATTTTAAAATAACAGAATCATATTATAAATTTTTTTTAATTGGGCGGGTAACCTGTGATTTATACTTAATAGGGTATTGCTTGGATAGGATATTAAACATTTTGTTTTATATTTTTTCACTAATATAAACAATCTTATGTGCAAACTTTAATCTTTGTATACTGATTTTAGTTTTTTTTTCTTAAAATGGGTTGGTAGGTATAGAGAATGCAATTAAAAAAATATTTGATTCACAGTTGCCCATTCTCTTCCAGAAAGGATCTACATATTCATATTTCTAGTATATGAGGATCTTTCCCCTATTTCTTGCTAACACTAGTATTTAGGTGTTAGGTTTCAGGAATGGAATTACAAATGGTTTACTGTAATGTGGATAATTCAGTATTATTTTATTTATAGTTTTATGAGATGACTCTTTTTGTAAGTAAATGGCAATATATTGATTTTTATTTAATTTCAGAATGACATTCTGCCCCTCTCCAACTTAGTGCCTGAAGATGTGGGAAAAGCTGACCAATTGAAAGATGAAGGTGAATATTTCATGATTACTGTTTTAGTAAAGCTTTTTGAAATTTTGAAAAAAGTTACTCTGTCAATCAGTCAATGTAATTCTGGTTTTCATTGCCAAGATTAGAATTTAGATTATCATAAGTCTGTATGGCACTTTTAAAACAAAAATAAGTATGATGGATAAGAAACCTGGAAATAGAGAATGGCTTGTGGGCAGTACAGGGATGGCTTGCGTTAAGAGAATCAGATCTGTTGTAAGTAAAACTTGCAAAATGAATAACCTAAGAGCCAATAGTAATTTTATTTGCCACTTATATGGTATGATGCCAAATCTTTTGTGGTTAATCAAAGATGGAAAATAATTTTCAGTATTATTTTAATTTTAGTATATTTAGTAATTTTGAATTGTTTGAAATTTGTTAATGTATGCATAGGCCACTTAAGTGTTTATTAGTACATTTGATTACCCTACAATATTGTATTTCAAACAGGTGGCTATTGAAGCATTCTTGGTTTTAACAAATAATTCACTCTTGAGACTCTATATTCAATTTTTCTCAAAATGTCTGTTATATTAAGCTATAGAGAAGAGCCAAGTCGGGTCAAAAGATTTGTACTAAGAATCTGTAAAGCAGAGCCCTTATTTTTAGCTGTGAATCAGAACCGATAAATTCCCCTTCCTATAGGCAGAGAGTTGTTATGGAATATGCTATGTTCACAAATTATATTTAGAACCATATACTGGCCTTTTTGTTCATTCATACCCTCAAGAAGGTGGTTGAGATTTTGTTTTCATTTTTAAGTGACTTGGTACCTAAAAAGAGCTCTGAGGGTGCAGTGGTTAAGGCATTCGGCTGCTAAGCAAAAGGTCAGCAGTTCAGACCTACCAGCTCCTCCAAGGAAGAAAGATTTATAGCCTTGGAAACCCTATGGGGCAGTTCTGCTTTGTTTTATAGGATTGCTTAGCCACTCCTCAGAGGGAAGTTTGGGCAATCTACTTCCTTAGTGATACTGCCTCAGAAACCCAAAGAGGGGTTGCTATGAGTCGGATCTGACTCCATGGGAGTGATTTGGTTTTTTTCTCTATGAGTCAGAAAGCAGACAGGGCCTGTAGCTGGAACACGTAAGGCAGGGAGAGCCCCCAGGCGGCAGGAAGCAGTGGCAGACAGGGCCAGCAGGAACAGGTAGGGGGAAGCTCAGGAAGTGAGCATAGCAGTTGGAATAGCTAAGGGAGATGAAATTGTCTGTCGGTTTGTCATACTGTGATGGCTTGTTTGTTGCTGTGAGATTGGAGGCTGTGCCAGCAGGGGAGCCCATGGTGGACCAGTTTCGGTGGAGCTTCCAGACTGAGACAGACTCAGAAGAAGGAAGAGGCCATCTACTTCTCAAAGAATTGACCTGGGAAAACCTTATGAATAGTAGTGAAACACTGTCTGATATATTACTGGAAAATTTTATGAATAGCTGTGAAACACTGTCCAATACATTGCCAGAAGATGAGCCCCTCAGGTCAGAAGGCATTCAGAATATGACGACTGGGAAAGAGCTGCCTCATCTGAGTAGAGCCTACCTTAATGATGTGGATAAAATAGAGCTTTTGGGATCTCCGTTTGCTGAAGTGGCACAACTCAGTATGAACAGCTGCAAACGTCCATTGATAATTGGAACATGGAATGTATGAAGTATGAATCTAGGAAAATTAGAAGTTGTCAAAAATGAAATGGAATGCATAAATATTGATATCCTAGGCATTCGTGAGCTGAAAGGGACCAGTTTTGGCCATTTTGAATCAGACAGCCATATGTTCTACTATGCTGGCAATAATATACAAATTGAAGAGGAATGGTGTAGCATTCATTGTCGCAAAGAATCTTTCAAGATCTGTCCTGAAGTACAATGCTGTCAGTAATAGAATAATATGCCTGCAAGGGAAGCCAGTTACTACTACTGTTATTCAAATTTATGCACTAACCACCAAAGCCAAAGATGAAGAAATAGAAGATTTTTACCAACTTGTGCAGTCTGAAATTGATGAAACACGTAATGAAGATGTGCTGATTATCACTAGTGATTGGAATGCAAAAGTTGGAAACAAAGAAGAATCACTGGTAGTTGGAAAATTTGGCCTTGGAGATACAAATAACACTGGAGATTGCATGATAGAATTTTGCAAGACCAATGACTTATTCATTGCAAATACTTTTTTTCAGCAACACAAATGGTGGATGTACATGTGGACTTTGCCATATTGATTACACAGGAATCAGATTGACTACATCTGTGGCAAGAGGTGATGGAGAAGCTCGATATCTTCAGCCAAAACAAGGCCAGGAGCTGATTGTGGAACAGGCCATCAACTACTCATATGCAAGTTCAAACTGAAGTTGAAGACAATTAAAACAAGTCCACAAGAGCCAAAATATGACCTTGAATATATCCTTCCTGAATTTAGAGACCATCTAAAAAATAGATTTGATGCATTGAACACCAATGACCGAAAACCAGAGGAATTGTGGGGTGACATCAAGAGCATCATCCATGAAGAAAGCAAAAGGTCATTTAAAAGACAGGGAAGGAAGAAAAGAAAATGATGTCAGAAGAGACTCTGAAACTTGGCCTTGAATGGAGAGTAGCAAAAGCAAATGGAAGAAATGACAAGATAAAAGAGTTAAACAGAAGATTTCAAAGAACAGCTCAAGAAGACAAAGTGAATTGTTATCATGAAATGTGCAAAGACATGGAGTTGGAAAGCCAAAAGGAAAGAACACGCTTGGCATTTCTCAAGCTGAAAGAACTGAAGAAAAAATTTAAGCCTCAAGTTGCAATACTGAAAGATTCTATGGGCAATATATTGAATGATGCAGGAAACATCAAAAGAAGATGGAAGGAATACACAGAGTCACTGTACCAAAAAGAATTGGTCAGTGTTCATCCATTTTAGGAGGTAGCATATGATCAAGAACTAATGGTATTGAAGGAAGAAGTCAAAGCTGCACTGATGGAAGTGATGAAAAACAGGCTCCAGGAATTGAAGGGATACCCATTGAGATGTTTCAACAAACGGATCCCCCACTGAAGGCACTAACTGGATTATGCCAAGAGATTTGGACGAAAGCTTCCTGGCAACTGACTGGAAGAGATCCATATGTGTACCCATTCCAAAGAAAGGTGATCCCACAGAATGTGGTAATTATCGAACAATATCATTAATATCACATGCAAGTAAAATCTTACTGAAGATAATTCAAAAACGGTTACAACAGTATATTGATAGAGAACTTCAGGAAATGCAAGCTGGATTCAGAGGAGGATGTAGAACGAGAGATATCATTGCTGATGTCAGATAGATCTTGGCTGAAAACAAAGAATACTGGAAAGATGTTTACCTGTATTTTATTGACTATGTAAAGGCATTTTACTATGTGCATCATAACAAATTATGGATAACATTGAGAAGAATGGGAATTCCAGAACACTTAGTTGTGCTCATGAGGAACTTGTAAATAGACCAGGAGGCTTTTGTTTGAACAGAACAAGGGTACACTGTGTGGTTTAAAATCAAGAAGGGAGTGTGTCAGGGTGTATCGTTTCACCATATTTATTCAATTTGTATGCTCTGGTAGCATAGTGGCTAAGACACCTGCCTGCTAACCAGACGGCTGGCGGTTCAAACCTACCAGCCACTCCTCGGAAGGAAGGTTGGGCAATCCTACTTCCGTAGTGATACTGCCTCGGAAACCCAAGGAGGGGTTGCTATGAGCGGGGCCGACTCGACGGCACATAACAACAACAACATGAAGAAGAACATGGCCTCAAGATTGGAGGAAGACTCATTGACAACCTGTGCTATGCAGATGACACAACTTTGCTTGCTGAAAGTGAGGATGACTTGGAATACTTACTGATGAAGATTGAAGACTACAGTCTGCAATGTGGATTACACCTCAATATAAAGAAGACAAAAATCCTCACAACAGGACCAATAAGCAGCATCACGATGGGTAGAGAAAAGATTGAAGTTGTCAGACTTTGTATGACTTGATTCTACAATCAACACCAGTGGAAGCAGCAGTCAAGACATCAGACGTCATATAGCCTTGGGCAAATCTGCTGCAGAGGACCTCTTTCAAGTGCTGAAGAGCAAAGATATTTCCTTTAAGACTAAGGTGCGCCTGACACAGGCCGTGGTGTTTTCATTCACCTAATATGCATGTGAGAACTGGACAATGAAAAAGGAAGACTGAAGAAGAGTTGATGCTTTTGAGTGGTGGTGTTGGCGAAGAATGCTAAAAGTACCATGGACTGCTAAAAGAACTAACAAATCTATGCTGGAAGAAGTGCAACTGGAATGCTCCTTGGATGCAAGAACAGCCAGACTTCATCTCACCTACTTTGGTCATGTTGTCAGAAGGGGGGACCATTCCCTGGAGAAGGGTATCATGCTTGGTAAAGTGGAGGGACAATGAAAAAGGGGAAGGCCCTCAACAAGATAGATTGACACAGTGGCTGCAACGATGGGCTCAGGTATAGCAAAGATTGTGGGGCTGGCCTAAGACCAGGCAGTGTTTCGTTCTGCTGTACATGAGGTCACTGTGAGTCAGAGACAACTCAACGGCACCTCACAACAACATGAGTCAGAATCAACTCAATGACAGTGGGTTTGGTTTTTGGTGTCTAAAAAAGGTAGATAGGGAAAAGAATACGTTTTCCATGGGCTGGTCATCTCTTTGGGTCATTAATCATACAACTATATTATCATTTTTAATGACTGTAGTATTCCATGGTATTGTTAAACCATGATTTACTTACTCAGACATAATAATTTTATAATCCAAAGTAACACTGTATTCAATATCTTTGTGTAGCTATCTTTTCATTATGGTATGCTTATCTTCTTCAGATTACATTAGAAAGCACTGTGTTTCCAATAAACTGGTTTTACTTTTCAGTTTTTTTATTTCCTTTCAGACATGGTGACACAGTTACTAAATGCTTGGCTGCTAACAGAAAGGTCAGCAGTTTGAACCTAGCAGCTGCTCTATCAGAGAAAAATGTAGCAGTCTGCTCCCCTAATGATTATAGCTTTAGAAACCCTATGAGGCAGTTCTCCTCTGCCCTACAGAGTCACTCTGAGTTGAAACTGACTTGATGGCAATAGATTTAGTTTTTGGTTTCAGTACGGTGAGTTAAAAGCTTAGAATATTATGACTTAAATTACATGCAAAATAAAGCAATAACCAGATCCTCAGTGTCAGTTGAGTTATACTATTCCCTCCCAAAATAAATTTGGCTTTAAATTATACAGATACAAATGAATTTTTCATTTGTTTCTAACTGAAATTATTTTTTTTCCTGCCAGATTTTTGTGGTATGTGAAATTCTTCTGTGATATAGTATTATTCTCTATCATTTTCCTTCTACAGCTTTCTTGGTTTAGCTCTAGTAATAATGATGAATAAATGGCAAATTAAGATACTGTTTTTGTCTATCATGCTTATTCCCTCTGAATTAAAAACATCGGAAGATTGCATTCCTTAAAGAGTTTGCTTTGACAATAATTAGTGTAAGACAAGTTAGAGGGACAAGCTGAAACTCTTACTGTGATTGTAATACAGGTAGACTGAATTACTGCCTTTGCCTTTAACCAAAAACTGTTAGTCTTTAGTTTTTAGTAAGACTTGTCACATGTAAGACATATTACATCTAAGATTGTCATTTTATACAGGTTTTGCTATTTGTGTGCAAAAAAAAAAAAATGGCCATGGCATATTGTCAAGCATAGGGTTATCCCAGGCTGCATGTTGCACATGCATACCTCAGAGATGTTGCAAGTTTGGTTCCCTACCACCACAATAAAGTGAATATCACAATAAAGTGAGTCACGTGAAGTTTTTGTCTTCCCAGTGCATATAAAAGTTATGTTTACATTATGCTGTATTGTACTACATGTGCAATACCATTATGAGAAAATTTGAAGTACTGCAAGAATTACCAGAATGTGACACAGGGACACAATGTGAGCTCATGCTGTTGGAAAAATGGCGCCAATGGACTTGCTTGATCCAGGGTTGCCACAAACCTTCAATTTGTAAAAAATGCAGTATCTGTGGAGCACAATTAAAAAAAGAAATGAAGTACAATAAAACAGGGTATGCCTGAGTACTTACCTGACTGTGTAAGCAAGGCTTGTGGCCTGAATACCTTTCTGGAAGATTGCTTTAAATTATTTTGGTGTGCTTTGCTTCTGAAGCACTACAATAAGATCAGAAGAAATAAAGTAGAGTTCATTGGTATCATTACCTGGCAGGAAGAGCTGTACCTAAGGTGTGGAAGGTATGGCATGTGCCCTGGGCACAACTTGAAGGAGGGATGCCACTGAGCAGTTTTTGTTAACCCGATAGGGCCAAAGTCCTTCCTCAAGCATGGTAGGTACCCAGAAGCTAGTAGCAAATCGAGGACAGAAAGGGACATTAGCAGCTGGGTGCATATCCTAAGAGGTTCCAGACAAGGCATGGAATGAAATTCTGAGGTGCCACAAATATGGAAGATGCCTGACTGAGGCAGCCAGACAGGAACAGGGAAGGCTACTTACTATTAATGTCTGCTCATCTTGAAATAGGGGGATGAGGATGGCGCAATTTAGAGATTGCCCCTGGGCTTTGAATTGGGAAGGGAGCACAATTTAGAGATTGCCCAGTGCTGGTTACCCTCCCTGCACACCTGCTGACAGGTCACAGAAATATAGGGTTCTCATAGAGATGACATGGGAATTAAAGGAAACAGTTTGATAGGAAGCACCATGTAATTAGAAAGGGCTATATTCATGCTTAGCTGTTATACTTACGTCCTTTCTTCACAACTTTTATTTGTATCCTGAATTTTTATGTATTGCATATTTTGTGACTTGAAATTTTATCATTAACTTATAGTTTGTGTATATGTAATATCTGTAGATGTATACATGCATTGTAGTATGTGTGTATGTAGTATGTGTATGTGTTTATACATATATATTGAGATAGTTTACAGTAAAATATATATCATGTATTTTTAATAATAATGATAAATGCCATTCCAAGACTAAAATACCTAATGACAAAAAAACCCCAATAAACACTCAAATTAAAATCTATTACATGGAAGAAGCAAATCTGTTTCACTACCTGGGCTAATATAATTAACTTCTTTGCTTAATCATACAAATGATGTTATCCTCCCAGCTTTCTTCCAAAACCAAACCAAATTCACTGCCATTGAGTCAACCCCTACTCACAGTGACTCTCAGCTTCCTTAGAGGCTTCTTTTTTGAGGGGGTGGTGGAGTGGTGGGGTGGTGAGAGGGAATCCAAATTATTTTTATTTAACTTATTGTAGAACAATTTCATCACCCCAAAAGAAATCCTATGTTCATTAGCAGTCATTCTTTATATTTATTTGTGATTCCTAATTTGTAGTAAATTTGTACAATTCTAGGAGCTCTGGTAGGAGGTCTGGTAGCATAGTGCCTAGGGCACTTGACTGCTAACCAGAAGGCTGGCGGTTCAAACCCACCAGCCACTCCTCGGAAGGAAGGTTGGGCATTCCTACTTCTGTAGTGATACTGCCTCGGAAACCCAAGGAGGGGTCGCTATGAGTCGGGGCCGACTCGATGGCAAATGACAACAATAACAACAACACCAGGAGCTCTGTAGTGTAGTGCTTAAGGCATTTGACTGCTAACCAAAAGACTGGTGGTTCAAGCCCACCAGCCACTCCTCGGAAGGAAGATGGGGCAATGTACTTCGGTAGTGATACTGCCTCGGAAACCCAAGGAGGGGTCACTATGAGTTGAGTCCGACTTGACGGCAGTGACTTGAGTTTTTTGTACAATTCTAGATGCTTTTATCTATGTTCCTTTTCTTTCATCTGTTGTTGTTCCCCGTGGACTTACATCCCCTTCACCCCTTTATTAGCTAATGATCTATTAATCTACAAGGCAAATAGGAGAGGTTGGTTTTGAGAAAGCTGGGAGGACTCATCATACTCATTTTGTGATGTAAATCCTTCCTTCTAATCCTAATTTATTGTTGTGAAAGTTTCAATTTTGAACATTCGTTCTTATAAATATGCAGAATGTTTTAATGTAATACAAATGATAGCTTCAGGAAATCCTTTATTTGCTGACCAGCTGTTAACCTAGCTAAGTAATTAGCAGATATAGTTGCTGATTCCCTTACTGAAAATCAGTACTCTCTGGGCTAGTTAAAAAGCCCTGGTGGTGCAATGGTTAAGCAGTCACTTATGAATGGAAAGGTTGGTATCCAACTCACCAGCTGCTCTGACAGGTAAAGAGCTGATGATCTGCTCCTGTAAAGATTTCAGGCTGGGAAACCCTATGTGACAGTTCTGCTCTGTCCTATAAGGTCACTAGGAGTTGGGATTGACTCAGTGGTACCTTTGAACATGGGCTACCTATGGTTTCTGAAATTCTGTCTTTCTGGACATTAATCTTCAAAAACTCCCTTTTAAAAGAATCCATCTCTGGAAGGGAAAAAATATACAAATATTATCTGCTAATTAGCAGTATCAGTTTACCAGCCTAACCCCAGTGGAGTCCTGAGAGCCTGGTTATTCAGCAGGTGTACGTTACGACAAGGAAGGATTGGGGTTGAAGACCATACCCAGACTGAGATGGTGATTGAGAGGGGTGTTGCGTCTAGGAGGAGGGTGGGGAAACTGAAAAAGGAGGAGAGAGATGAAGAAAAGGTGAGAAGAAATTGGATTTTGCCTTGCGATAGTCATAATTGTTGTATTTATTCTCTTTATGAGGCCTGGATCTTATAAGGCATACAAACATTAATTTTTAAGACTGCATTATTGATGAATGCACACTGAAGACTAAGGAAGATCAACTGTATAGTACAATATAAAATTTATCTCCATTATGACTGAAAAATCGTATGCCTGCTCTTTGTGTTATTGTATTTTCTATGATTAAAAATTTATCTGTCAGACTTTAAGTATATTTTCTCTGTATTTTGTATTTACTGTATATATTGATTATTTCAGGCAATAATCACATGAAAGAAGAAAATTATGCTGCTGCAGTGGATTGCTATACCCAGGCACTAGAATTGGATCCAAATAATGCAGTTTATTATTGCAACAGGTAAACTGGTACTGTTGTAGTAAGTTTATTGTTCTTAAATATTTGGATCAATAGCTCTGAAGGAGAGCTGAACTGTAAAATGTATTTATTTAGAAAATTCTGAAAGTTCGGAGAAGTATAAAGAAGGAGGGAAAAATAAACTCCTAAGAATATTTACACGGGAAAATACTTTCCTTCGAAGATCAATCATGGGAGAACAGAAGGGCAGTATTTGCACAAGGAGGTAGGTCAGGTGTGGTAGAAATGCATAGGAAGGAAGGATACAGAGAAGAGGTAACTACAGGGAGAGAGTGGGAAGAGAGCTGTTACAGTGTGGGGAATTGGCAGTCAATGTCATGAAACAAAATGTGTATGAACTACTGTATGGAAAATGAATTTGCTCTGTAAACTTTCACCAAAATCACAATAAAAATAAAAATTTAAAAAAACTCATAAACTTACCCCTTAGAGGCAACTATTATTAACCTTTTGGTATATTTTGTCCCATGTAAATGAAATCAATTTTAGGCTCAGCTTTATTCACTAAGCATATCATAAACACTTCATTATTTCACTTAAATCCTTTATCAAAGTTATTTTAATGGCTATAAATTATTTTACTATTCTTTTTTTTTTAATTTCCATCACTTACCATTAAAACCCCCCCGAAAAAACCGAACTCACTGACATTGAGTTGTTTCTGACTCATAGTGACCCCCATCTTTACAGAAGTAGATCCCCAGTCTTCCTTCTGCAGAGCAGCTGGTGGGTTTGAACCATTGACGTTCTGGTTAACAGTCAAGTGCCTTATCTACTATAGCACATTATACCTACCAAATATGAACTCTGTTATTTTTGAACGATTGGATAGACATGCTTTAATTTGCTTAACTGTTGTCTTACTGATGGACATTGAAGTTCTTTCCCTTAATCCCCCAGTAGTATAAAGCTGTAGTGAACGTCTTTGTTTCTAAATTTTTTTCTGGAATTCACACTTTCTAGATTTTGGATATTTCCTTGGAAATGTACTTAGTAGGGCTAATGGTACAGAATGAAAAGAATTAGTCATGCAGATTGCAAAGTTCCAACTGCTTTGAAAATACTAAGAAAATTAATTCACTCCCCGAGGCGTGTATGAATATATCTATCATACCCTTCTCAGCATCAGGTATTCAAATTACTATTTACTTATAATACTGTTATTTTCATATCAATTGTTCTGACTTATATTTATTTAATTATTGGAGAGTGTGGATATTTTTCAAATGTTGGCTATTTGTAAATTATTGTTTTGTAAGTATTGCAGGGCTTAGCCTGCCTGGCCTAGGATTTATTTCTGTTTCTTTTCGTGCTGAGCTTTTTATAACAGTGGGGCTGCATTTCCCAGGCTCCTTTTTCACTTGGCTTCTGAGTTCAGCTGTGAAGGTAGTGGCAAGAGATTAGAGGGAAGAAGGAAGGGAGAACTCAAGGTATTTCTTCCCCTTTTTTACCTCAGGCCATGTATCTGGCAGAGGCTAAGTCTGGTCTTTACCTCCATCTCCCACTTCCACTGGAGAGACCTGCTATGTTCCCAGCTTTGAAAAAAAAAAAACAAAACTCACTGCCACTGAGTCAATTCCGACTCATAGAGACCCCCTTTGGCTTTCTGAGAAACCTAAATCTTTACAGTAGCAGATACTGGGTTTTTGGACTCTGCCTTTTCTCTGGCCTCAGGTGCAGTAATGGCTTTCTGTCTCTGGATTATTGTACAACACTCTGTTTGGCATCGCAGTTCTTTCACCTGTGTAATTAATTCCTTGCATTAAATTACTCCATTTAAGTATGTTAACTGCTACATGCCCACTAATCTTTCTTTATTTAAATTATTCTTATGTTTTTCAAAATAGAGTATGCATCTAATCTATGCCATTATTATTCAACAGAAATTTTTGCAATGATGGAAATGTTCTGTATCTGTGTTGTCCACATTGGCTATAGAGAGTTTGAAATGTGGCTACTGAAAATGAGGAACTGAAGTTTTAAATGATTTAAAACCAGTTTAAAGTAATTAACTTAATGATTTAAATTTAAATAGCCACATATGGCTAGTCCTACTCTAGTGGACAGCAGATCTGTATTTTAGATACATAATTCTTTTGTTGTAATTGCACATATTATTTTTTGCCTTTTAATACTTTTAATATGCAAAAATATAAAATATTTCTATAGTGAAGTTTATCTTTTCCTTTAAATTTTCTTCCATTGCTTTTCAGCTTAAAGCTCTCTTCATTTATGAACTTGATAAATAACTTCTATTTTCTTAACATTTAAATTTTATCATCTCAAATCTATTTTGTTGAATGATTGGACTATTTTAATCAATCTGAAACTTTTTGTGACAGTGCTAATGAGAATTACCTTTTATAGTAAGTCCTTAAATTTGAAACAGATCAAATTAATTTTGTCTAATTTTTCAGTGAATTACTCACCATTGTCACATTTCATCATATTTAGAATATGAGATAGCCTCCCTCTCTTCATTTTTAGCTGTATCTGACTGTTAGAAATGTCTGTCTTGTATTGACACTGAATTTGTTTTCCTATAGCTTGTATTAGTTGGCTTTATTTTTATTCTTATGGACCATTTTAGAACAAGTATGAGCTTTCTTTTTTATTATAGTACTTTATATATTTGAAGTTTGCTACTATGTTCATTTGAGTTATTTTCTATATGTTAAATGTTTCTTCAGTTATACCTCAGACAGAACAACTTTCACCCCTGCTGCTTCACTGTAAACTTGTTCTAGTTCACCTGCGTATTTTAAATGTAGTTCCCATAAGTTAATATAGTATACTGGCATTGATCTGACCTCAACCGTCTTGTAGAGCTCTCATTTAATCTACTTGTATATAACTTAATTACATATTACCAATTTATGTTGTTGTTGTTATGTGCCGTCAAGTTGGATCCAACTCATAGCGACCCCTCCTTGGGTTTCCGAGGCAGTATCACTACGGAAGTAGATTGCCCCATCTTCCTTCCGAGGAGTGCCTGGTGGGTTTGAACCACTAGCCCTCTGGTTAGCAGTGAAGTGCTTTTGGCACTACGCTACCAGAGCTCCTTACCAATTTATAGCATTGTTCATTTAATTCATATTTTGCTTTTGGTTAATTAAAATTCCTCTGCCTTTTTCATATATTCACTCTATAATGTCATCAATTAACATTGCCAGTAATTTCATTTTACTTGGATTCACAATCAACACCCATTGAAACACAGTTAAGAAATCAAATGATGTATTGCTTTGGGCAAATCTGCTGCAAAGGACCTCTTTTAAGTGTTTAAGAGCAAAGATGTCACTTTGAAGACTATGGTATTTTCAGTAGCTTCATATGCACATGAGAGCTGGACAATGAATAAGGAAGACTGCAGAAGAATTGATGCTTTTGAATTGTACTATTGGCAAAGATTATTGAAGGTACCATGGACTGCTAGAAGAATGAACAAATCTGTCTTGGAGGAAGTATAGCCAGAATGTTCTTTAGAAGCAAGAATAGCCAGACTTTGTCTTTCATACTCTGGTCATGTTGTCAGAAGGGAGCAGTCCCTGGTGAAGGATATTATACTGGGTAAAGGGAAGGGTCAGTGAAAAAGGAGACGACCTTCAAAATGGATTGACAAGCAGTGCTTGTGAGGATGGTGCAGGACCGGGAAGCATTTAGTTCTGTAGTACATAGGGTCGCTGTGAGTCAGAACCAACCCAATGGCACCTGATAAAAACAACAACCATCTTAAAATAAAAAAGAAATGATGTTAGTCTGATAGGGCTTGAATTAGTCCAATGTTATTTTCTTTCTTCTTTTTTGTCCCCAACATTTTATTATAACACTTTTCAAAGTTGGAAGAAGTTTATAGTGAAAACTCATAGTCATACCTAGATTTTGTCATTGATATTTTAGCATATTTGTTACATCACATGCCATCTTTCTGTGCCTCTGTCCGGCCATTATTTCCACTTATTTTTTGATGTATTTAAAATATATTGCAGACATCAAGACACTTTTCCCCTTTAATATGCATATCACTAACTGTTGTTGTTATGTGCCATTGAGTCAGACCTGACTCATAGCGACCCCTCCTTAGGTTTCCAAGGGGTTATCACTACAGAAGTTGATTGACCAACCTTCCTTCTGAGGAGTGGCTGGTGGGTTTGAACCACCAGGCTTCTGGTTAGCAATCAAATGCCTTAGGCACTACACTACCATTTGTTTTATACTCTTTTTCTTTTGAGGTAAAATTTATATGGAATAAAATGTAGAAATCTTGAGTTTTGACAGATACATGCACCTGTGTAACCAAACCTCTGTCAACATATAGAAAATTATCATCAGCCCGAGAGTTCCCTCATGCCCCTTAACAGTAAGTTACCTCCTACCCTTCACAGAGGCAGTCACTGTTTTGTTTTTCCCCACCATAAATTAGATCTATCTGTTCTAGAATTTCATGTGATAGAAATCATACAGTGAGTACTCTTGTGGAAGACCTTGTTTTCTTCAACATAATATTTTTGAAGTTGCAAGTTTGGGGCTTCCTAAAAGTACCCTCACATTTGATAAGTCATTAGAAGTACTCACAGAACTCACTGAAAGCTATTTTATATGTAGTTATGGTTTATTTCAGGGAAAGCATACAGATCAAAACCAGCCAAGGAAAGAAGTGCATAGGCCAAAGGCCAGGAGGATTCTAAATGCAGAGTTTTATATAAGCATGATTGATTGATTGATTGATTTCCTACATGCTTGATTTCAGTCTTCAGGTTAGCTGAAGTCCTCACCCTACATCATATTGTTGGTCTTTTTGTCATGGTAAGTCTATATCCCAAATGTATATGTATGTGGCCAGCCTCTGTCCTAAATCCCATGTTAAGAGTATCTAGTATGACAGTACATCTTCAGGCAAACAAAGCCAGTCCTATTAGGCATAAAGTTCCAGAGAGTACTTCCCAGAAGCCCAGTACAAAGGCCAGAACTTAATTTTGGGC